GGCTCTTCAGCCCCCAAAGCCAGTAATTACCACACCTAGGGCCCCGCCTCCATGACCTAATCCCGATCTGATGATCTAATCCTGATTGCTACCCAAGACTCCAGCTGCAAAGCCATCAGTTTATGAATTGGGATGTTAGCTTTGCAACACACGAACTTTGGTTGGGGGGGGGGACATTCTGCCAATGACAGCACATACTAATTGCTTTGAATTTGACCTAGGCAGGAAAAAAAAATCCACTTTCTTAAGCGGAATCTAAAGGCTTAGGGCAGGCTGTCAAATGAGGGATCTTCATCTTCATTGATGTAGGCTATTGAGGTCTCTTGGAGACGGAAGGATCCTGCTTCCTAGACACGTGAGGCATCAGAATCTATCAAGGCAGGAGATCTGGGGCCCAAGGTTCCAGCTCCCATCCCGACTGAGGTTCTATCACTTCCCGAGGATGTGCCGTGATGTGCCCAGGACACACAGCAGCATGTCCCTTCCCATTCTCAGCCTATCTCATCACTTTCCTGACCCCCAAAGACTCCCATCTCTGCCTCTGCCCATCCGGGCAGCTGGCATTTTCTAAGTGAGCCCAGAGCTGGAACCTTCAGGAAGAGTGTACTTCTCATCCAGAGAAAAGGTGTTGGTGAGCATGTGGTGGTGCCGGGGCCGGGGTCCCAAATCTCTGTTCCAGAAACCACCCTAGTCTGTGAGTAGTATATTAGTAACTTTTCTTGTGACTGTGACAAAATACTTGGCACTAGCGACTTAAGAAAGGGTTTGGCGGCTCACAATTTGAGGGTACAGTCCACCATGGTGGGCAGATACAGCGGCAGGAGTGTGAAACAGTTGACCACAGCGCAACCACAGAAATACGGCTGCTCAGTTTTCTCGTTTTAAAATCAGCCTAAGAGCCCAGCTCACGGAATACTGCCACCTACATTTCAGGTATGTCTTCCTCATCTAGAAACTTCCTTACAGACATCCCCAAAGGTTTTTCTAACAGCCGATTCTAGACCTTGTCAAGTTGACAATATTAACTATAGAAAAATCTAGCCCTTGTCAACTTAACACAAACGTATCATTTTAAAGCCATAACATTTTACTCTCTGTCCCCATAGGCTCAGGGCCACATCATAATGAAAGGTGTATTTAGTCTAACTTCAAAAGTCCCCACACAGTCTTTAGCAATTCCAACACAGTTTAAAAGTCCATGTCTTTTCTGAGATTTAAGGCACTCTCTTGACTGCCATTAAAATAAATTATATACTTCCAATACACAACTGTATGGAATAAATATTCAACCAGAAGGAATGGGGGCATAGGAAGGAACGATGGGACCAAAGAAAGACCAGACCCCAGCAGGGAAACCACCAAATCCTGTAGCGACATGTCTGTCCAGCATCTGGGGCTCCTGATAGAATCTTGGATAGCCCTGTCTCTGCATTTCTTCTGGTTATAAACCATACAGCCTCTGTCTTGGGCTGGCTCTTCTTGTAGATTCCTGTGATTTTGGCATCTCCAGCACCCTAGGGCTCCACTTCAAGCAACTTAGGCTTCTCCTTTACAGTGACGCGCCATGACGTCTCGAGACCTCCTTGTGGGGCCTCTGACCCTTCTACACACTGCCTGGCCTGTCTGGTTTTTAGGGACCTCAGTGCATGACCTTCCTCCATCATTCTTGTGTCTTTTGTGCCTGTTAATTCAGTATTTTATAAAGCTGCCAAGTTCTACCGTCAGCTCGAGAAGCAGCCTGCACCCCTTTTAAAAATAAAATAAAATAAAATCATTGACCTTTGTGTGTGACACCTTCCTAGGCCAACTGTTTTGAGAAAGAAAGCCCTTCTGTTGCCTTCTCAGGTCAGGCTTTCTCCATAAGTTAGAGCCTTCAGTGGGTGGGGTCTTCCCCTTAGAGAACCTTTTCTATTGTCCCAGCATGGTGCAGGACAAGTTGTTACTTTGTTACTTTGTTGTTTACTTTTTGACTCAGGATCTTATTTTGCAGACCTGGCTGGCCGGGGACTCACAGAGATCCTCCTGCCTCTGCTTAGGGTGTGCTGAGACTAAAGGTGCACAGCACCACACTTGGTAGATTTGTTTTAAGGCCTTCTAAACTCTCATCAGAATGGCCCATCAAACTCTATTTACAGCATTCTCGTTCTTCTGGAGTTCACAGCTGCGCGCTCTTCCATATCCCTCCCCAAAACCGGTTCCAAAAGCCTACAAGTCACATGGTCAGGCTGATCGCAGCAATGGCCGCCACTTCTTGGTGCCAATTTTCTGTATTTGTTATTTTTCTAGCTCTTGGGACAACGAATCTGACAAAAGAAAGCAAGAAGGAAGCATTTATTTCGGCTGAGAGTGTGAAGGTAACAGTCTCTTATCCTAGGGCAGCAGGAATGTGAGGGGGTTGGTCACACCACATCCACACTCAGGAAGCAGAAAGCAAGAAATGCTGGTGCTCAGCTAGCACTCTCTTTTTTATTTGGACCCACCTAGGTGTAGGGCATACATAGCTTTCCACCTCAATTAACCCAGTTTAGAAACCCCTGGCAGCCATGCCCAGAAGTTTGTCTCTTAGGTGAGTCTAGAGCTTGTTAAGCGGGCAATCAATATTAACAATCACAAAGAACAGTACCTCCAAGGCATCCTCTGTCCAGCTCTACTAGTTCCCAATGTTTTTTCTCTTGGGTCTTTTCCCGTCTTATACAATTTTCTCAGACCATCTTTCTAAGGGTTCCCAAACCGTTTCCTCCAACTTTTCTGGGACTTTCAAGCTCCGGTCAGACGACCTCGAAAGACAGGATGGTATCATTAATATTCTAAAGCTCTCAAGACAGGAAGCTGGGAATTCCTAGCTGTCCCGCCTCCTCAGTGCTCTCTGAAATCAGTTACCGACTCAGGCTGGGTCCACCCCTGCATAGATTTTCACTCACCCACATCCACCCTCATTGCCACAACCTGGGCTTAGACCCTATCCCCTCGCAGAGGAGCTGTGTGACAAACTTTTCCTGGGAAGATGAAACACACACCTACTTATCCCAGATAGGGAACCCACGACAGACCAAAGTAAGGGTACCACCAACATCCACCAACTTGGTGAACCAGTGAGCTTTACTGGAGTCACTCGCAGGAATTACTTACAGAGGCAGGAATGTCTCAAAGGCAACTGCATCCCCAAAGCCCACCCCAGCATGGGTGACAGCTCACAAAGCAGGAAACCTGGCACACACTGAACAGCCTGCAGGCAGTTCAACAGAGTGGAGAGTATCCTTTCCAGGTGCCTCATTTGGTCTAAACCTCTTCCAGCTCGGCTGGTTTCTGGTTCCTTCAGGCTCCTGGGCTGGTCTCAGAGTCTTCTTTGCAGCTTTGCTTGTCTGAGAATTCTCTTTGCAGCTCAGCTTCCTTCAGTCTGAGAGGAACTCTCAGTGTTTATTGCTTACTCCGGCAGGGAGAGGCCTAGTGAATCTAGTCAGTTTCAGGGACTTCCTGAAGCTATTTTGACTTGTTTACCTTCCTACCTCCCTGCAGAACTGAATGTTTCAGAGAAATGTCACTGCCTTCCCAGATCTCCTTATTGTCAGGCTCTCTCTTCCACAGGCTTCCCCAAAGTCACCTGATTATGATGTTGCCTTGTTCACATTATTGCCTAGATCAGTGGCCTTAAGGAAAGTGAAGATTAATTTTTATCATCTTAGCTAGTCTGTAGAACTAGCGTTCTAGTTGTGATGAGGTGGGTTTTTTTTTCTCCTTTGATGAGATTAATATTTTAGTCAGTGGACTGTGAGTAAAGCAGATTTCCCCCATGGGTAGGTGGGACTCATTCAATGGGTTTGTGTGGGCTTCCATAAGCCATGCCCTGTGGGTTCTGCACTTGTCAGAGTTCACATTCTCATGCCTTCCCCACCCCCATCCCTTCCCAGTTCTATGTCTCTGGAGTATCCAGACTTGTAGTTACTCTTCAGTTTCTCCAGGTCAACTTAGCTCATATGCTCGTGAGAAAAAGGCACCTATCTACTCATTAGGAAAAAGCGCCAGTTCCAAGAGAACATAGATTTGACTACAGATAGTCAGAGTTTGGGTGAGCTTTCTAGACAACCACACGGAACTGCTCTGCCCCAGGACAGGTCACATTCTCATCCCTCTTCCCCATCCCCTATCCTAAATGCCCTACAGCTCCTAGGACCTGCAGTGTTCCTTTGCCCAATAATATGTTGTACAACTGCCTGTCAAGGTCCCCTTCGACAGCATACTCCTCTGACCAGGCTTTGGGGACCCTCGGCCTGGGTCGGCCTCCACTCTCCTTGGCCTTCAAAATTATACTTGCTTGATCTAGACTGAACTACCCTCTGGTGATGGGGTCTGAACTTAGAACCACCATGCTTGGCGCTGGCAAAGGGTTGCACAAACGTAAACAGAACCAAAGGAAAGAGGAAAGCGCAAGTCTAAGTGAATGAATGGACGGTTTCGCGGGCTCGCAGCTGGCAGCAGGAGGCGCTGCCCAGAAGTGTGTGCCTTGCCTCTCCGCAGCCGGCGCGCTCTGCCCGCCACCCCTAAAGGGACTCGGCTGGGGCCGCAAGAGGGGAGGCGACCCCAGGTCGATCGCGCCGCCGTCCGGGCCGCGAGAAGGAATCGGCGGGGAGGGGGAGGGGCATGCTGTCTTCTTTCATTCTTCCACGCCAGGGTCTCGGGAATGAAAACTGCCCCCAGCCGGGCCAGAGCGAGGGGATGAAAGGCGGCCCTAAGACCTCTCTAGTCGAGCCTCGTCCCGCCCGGATTTCGGAAACCGGCCTAGCCGGGGGTGTCGCGCCACGCGGCCGCCCGACCGCGGGAGATAGGGGGCAGCGTCGCCCCTCGCGCGGTTGCTCCCGCAGGACGCACACCCGGGCTGGCACTGTCCCATCGCAACGTGACGCCCCGCCCCGTCTCTTGGATCAGAATCTCAAATCCCTTCTAGCATCTTCCCCTCTCTCCGCTGGGCCTTTGGTATGCCCCAGGGGACAGATGTCTTGGGATCTTTAACATTTGGGATGCTGCAAATGCCGAAGTTAAATGAAATACCTCCGGGGAGGGGAGGCCCGGGGGAGCCTTGGGGAGAGGGAAGATGGGCGGGACCAACAGGTCCTGAAGCTGCGCGGAGGGCGCGGGGGGCGCGGGGGCAGGCGCGGGGCGCCCGAGCTCGGTGGGACAGGTAAGGCGGAAACTTAGTGAACGGGACGCGGGAGAACTGGGGGAGATCGAGCCCCTGAACCTCGGTCTTCACCCTCAGCAGAAGGGGTCTTGCAGGGAACGGGGGTAATTTTACCAAGGGGTCGAGAATTCCCGAATTCCTACACGAAAGCCGTTTCCAACGGCTCAACCTTTCTCCTTCGACCCTCTTCCCTAGGCCGGTGGATCTCCTGGCCAGGTTCCGGGAAGCCAGAAAGCAGGCAAACAAAAGGAGCCCAAGTCCCAGGCCTGCCTGGAAGGGGAGGGCGCGGTGGGGGAGGGGCTGGGGGGGGCAGGACAAAGGGGCTTTTTACCGAGAGCCTGGAGGTTTGATTGCAGGGTGCATCCCTGGCTAGCCCGAGTCCCCCTCCCTGGTTTAGCTAGGGTGAACACCTTTCCCAGTGGCCGGAGAGAAGAATGGAGAAAGAAAACAGTAACGGGGGATGGTCTTCCATCATTCTTGCCCAGAGTCCTTGACAATTTCCCGTCCTTTCCCGGCTGTGAGCTCCCGCGGCTGGCCATTGATTTGTTAATTCATTGAGTAAAGTTGTGGGAATGCTGGTGGCTGTACTTTGCTGGGGGGCTGTTGGGGATGTGGTGATGGTAAGGATGAAGGACGTGGTTTTAAAAACCTTGACTCCTAGCCTATCACAGAAATCTAAAGAAGGAACTTCGGGGCAGCGGGGGGGCAGTGGCGTATGATTGGTTACACATCTGTGGAAGAGTTTGGACACGAAAGGTTTTGAAAAGGAGGTTTTCCCCGGGAAGGACTGTCTTCCACCGCGATAGGATTCCAGTGCCGCCCTAGGAAACCTCACGCCCTCGCCTGTCGATGATGGTCTTTCTTGTCGCCAGTGCTCTGGGACTGGGGATCAGAAGTGTCAGCTTCCTGGTTCCTGGAGTTGGGCATTGAGTTCCAAGTTCCAAGCTACCTCCGAAGTGCCCACCTATCTCTTGGTGTTGCCCCCTCCCAACCCCCTCCTTGGCAGGAGGACCGTCAGTGTGTCCGCTGCATTCCAAACCTTAGATTGTGTTTGGGTTGGGGAATGTTGAGTGTGGATTTGGAGTATTTAAAAATGAAGGATCAAGGGCTGGAGAGATGGCTCAGAGGTTAAGAGCACTGCTTGCTCTTCCAAAGGTCCTGAGTTCAATTCCCAGCAACCACATGGTGGCTTACAACCATCTGTAATGAGATCTGGTGCCCTCTTCTGACCTGCAGGGATATGTGCAGACAGAACACTGTATACATAATAAATAAATAAATCTTTAAAAAAAAAAAAAAAAAAAAAAAAAATAAAAAAAAATGAAGGATCAATGCAAGCAGGTTGGTCTGCAGGTCCATTGCTGATCAGGGGCCTGCTACCCATCTTCAGTAGAAGTCTGCTATAGCACTGAGTTTCTGCAGAAAAAGAAAAAGCTTCGAAAAAGCTCCGCTGCCCAGCTGAGCTGCCAGGAGGCTGGGAGCGAAAAGTGAAGCTCTTGTCTCATCAGAGGGTACTGAAGAGTGAGGAAGCTGTCGGGCTTGCCTCTTTGCAGCTTGCATATTTCTTTTTTTTGGGGGGCAGGGAGACTTATGTTCTGCTTGAGGGCGTTTGAATTTGTGATATCACTGTCCTGGCTTCTTCTGCTCAAGTCCATTCTTGAAAAGCTGGTTACAAGTAGCAAGAATCGTTAGTGAGGGCCTGGAGGCTTTTCCTGGAAGATAGCTTCAGGAATTTATGTCCTGGTGTGTACAGGCCTTAACCCGATTTCCATTTCTGTCCTTGAATTCAGGTGGCGTTACCTGAGGCCACAGTTCTTAATTGGGTCCAAACCTTACACCTCAGGCTGTGGTGGCAGCATCAGTATCCGTGGCTTTCCCGTGAAGTCGGGTTCCTACCGCACTGAAGTTATATGTAAATAGTTTCATTCATCCGTTGTTTGAAATGACCGGTTGCTGGGTCCTGTTTAACGTTAATAATGAAGTATGCATGCTGTGACGTTTATGTGGTTTCAGAACTGTACTTCAGCATAATTGGGCTTCATAATTGGTCTATTTTATACATTAAAAAAAACTGAGCTGAGTTAATTCTAGTAACTCCACCACTGTGTCCCCAGTTGGAGCTGGGGGATGGGCCAAGGCAGCCCAAGCCCAGAGTCAACCCCTCACAGACACTGGAAGAGCGTGTAAACCTGTTGGGGGATGGGTAGGGACTGCAGTGTTGTGGAGGACTGGGGGGATGGGGAAGGGTTGTGGGTTCTTTGGGAGGTTCAGGGAGCATGCTCCCCACAGTGGGGAGGGTCTGTCCCCTGTGAGGGCCCCTTGGCCTCCGCTTGGGGAGAGGAGGAGGTGGTCAGCCTGTAGGACTCCGGGGGCTAGCATTGTTTGGAAAGAGGGTGTGTACAGGAATGTGAAGGTATGGGAGGGGGGTTTGTGTATAGAAGGAATGGGGTTGTGGTGAAGGGTGGTGGCAGACTGTGAAAGGGCTCGGCTCCGGAGATGCTTAACAGGCAGCTTCTCTGGCATTTAGGGAGAGTGAGGACAGGGTGTCTTAGGGGCTGGGAGAAGGAAGCAGCTCAGGTGTGTGTTGAGTACCGGGACCTAGGTCCCAGGGATGGAGGATGGAGGTGATGGGACAAAGGCTTGAGAGACGCAGGCCAGCCTGCCATGTATGTCTAGCCTCTGGGGCAGAGGCAACCGTCAGCCTCCGCTCTCGTATTGTGAGCAAGTTTTCATCTGCCTGAGGGTCAGTGGACCGAGAGGCCTGGAAGCCGATGTTTTGCAGGGAACAAGTTCCATGTTTGTGACCTGGTTCCCCGAGTTTGGAGAGTGGGCTAAGGAGTGGAGGTTCCTGCGGCTCTCCTGTGACATAAGGGATGACCAGACTGTACGGGTCAGTGCCCCACAGAGCATTGCTGCGGATTTGTGTCAGTTCCAAATGGGGTGGAATGCTCTTGATGTTGCTGGGATAAGAAGAAGACAGCTTGGTCCTCGCCTCTAGCACCCCAGAGTCTCTGCAGAAGCAATCCTGGCCTGTTTTTGTTGTCCATTTGGTTTTGTTTCTTTTTTAGGTGCTGGGTTTTAAACCCAGGACCTCTGGCTTGTACTCTACCAATGAGTTACATATACTCACAGCTGTCTTTTCCTCCTCCTCCTCCTCCTCCTCCTCCTCCTCCTCCTCCTCCTCCTCCTCCTTTTCTTTAAAATATAGCATCTTGCTCTGTCGCCCAGGCTGGTCTTCAGTCTATGGGTTCATATGATCCTCCTGCCTCAGATCACAAGTAGTTGGGACAACAGGTTGTTACAGGTGCCTGCCACAACCCTCAAGGCTGCCTGAGGCTTTTAAATCCTAATCTGGGAAAACTGAGGCCGTGACCTCCACCTGTGTGTAGGGAAAGCAGTGACCTTGTGTGTCTGCAGATTTTCTGATGATGCTCCCTGCGGACAGTGAATTTTTTACTCTGTTTTTTTTGGGGGGGTGGGATGGGGTGGGGCTTAACATTCCTTAATTTCTAGAAAGAGAAAGTGGGGTACAAGGGTGACCGGGAGAACCATTCAGGACAGAAGGGCGCTGAAGTACTTCAGAGCTCAGCACGCTGTATTAGGGTTCCTTGTGACTATGGAAATCTGACTCTGCTGCCTTCTGGTTCTCTTTCATGGGGAGCCCCCTTTTCCCTGCTCCCCTCAGCCCGGAAGTGCAGAGGCCTAGGAGCTGCCTGCCGGCAACTGCCAGCAGCCGGATTAGTTCAGGGAAGGACTTGCTCACCTGCTCCTCCCCTCTGACTCAAGTCGTAACAAGTAACCTGGTTCCCCTGGCCCGGCAGCCTGGGAGGGACAGCAGGCAGGCAGGCGGGACCCATGAGAGGGAGAGCCAGGCCATCGGCGGTGGCTGGCTGTGGAGAACTTGCTGGAAGCAAGAGCACCAGGGCCTGCTTGTGACCTGAGAGACCCCGGGGTGTTATGAGAGGCACCTCAAACCCCTGATCTGAGAACAGGAGTCTTCCCTGATCTGGACTGAGCTCTGGAGCAGGTGAGAGGGGCGGGGGCGGCGGGGAGGCCAGTCTGTGGATTTGAGCTGTAGGCAGACCGGGGAATGGAGGGAGCCCTGGACAGACATGGCTATCATTCCCCACACCTAAGGTTATATCTGGACTCAGGAGCAATAGGGGGCTGCTAGCGGATTTGGAAATGGGGACCCTGTCTCTGTGAGCAGGCCTAAATTTTCAATAGAGATGAACTGGGGCAGAGGGGACCTGGCTTTAGGGGCATACTTGTGATGGGGAGGATCCCCAGTGACCCCCCTGAGAGAAAATATGCTGGAGTTTCCCTCCCTCCTTCTAAGCCTGCCTTTATCCCTCTGGCTTTGTCTGGGGGTGGCTTTGAGGCGGTGGGCTGCTTCTGGCCTGGCTAGGAGGGTCAGTGGGGCAGAGACTCCTGAGTTGTGGGTGGAGATGTTACCTGAACTGCCTTTATCTAAAGCAAGACCTTCCACCCTAGGCCTGAGCTCTCCTGGGTGGGGCCTGGGCTGCCCCTGTGGATTCTGGGGAAGTTTCCTCACATTGGGGAGCTATGCTATGTGTCTGCCTGGGTGTTATTCTCAGCCTGGTATTGCCCAGAAGGTCCTAATTCAGACCTAGGGGCTGGGAAGGGCTTTAGGCCTGACTGATTTTCGTTATCTTTGTGAGGAAAAGTGGGGTTTAGGAGGCCGGCGACCCTCCTCACTGTCCCAGGAAGCTGCACAGCTGAGCACGGAACCCAAGTCTCTGGGCCTGTGTACTTTGCCCTCGGAGTAGCAAGTGAGCCCAGAGCTGACCCTGCATCCTCTTGGGTGCACAGAGAATACCAGAACCTTGAGAGAGAAGCTGGCAGAGAAGACATGCTAAGCCATCCCTTAGTCTCCAAACGAACCCCCCTGTCTGCAACAGCCTGAGTCCCCCTGAGAGGCCGGGCTGGAGTTATTTCAGCCTTTCAAGGCAACGTCTTAGTGGTTAATAATTAATTAGCAAGTGTGACTAATTGATGGCTTCCCCTCCCATTTACCCCCTCCCTCTGTCCAAAGCAAAAGGCTCCAGGTGGCAGCTGCCAGCTCTGCTAGAGCCTTGGTCCTGCTTCCTAGCTGAAGATGAGCTTGCCTTCTTCTGGGGAGGGTAGGAGGATGCCCCGAGGTGGGAGGAAGGCCCAGCTGCCTGCTTCTCTGGGCTAGAAAGAGTAAGGATCTGAGTGAGACAAATGGACAGCATGAATTAACAATCACCCCTAGCTTCCTGGAAGTACCAGGGGTTGCATGGGCAGTCCTTTAGTGTGTTTGTGAAGGTACCACGCCAACTTTTATTCTTGCCTTCATTCTTCAGACTTGCTCAGAAGATTGAAATTCCAGAGTGCAAAGTACATGTCGGTTTCAGGGCCTTGGTTTTACCCATTGCTGCCCACGGTGCATTGATAAGCTGTGCTGTTTACACAGTCTGTTAAAGCTCTCCTTCCTCACCTGCTCTTTCGGGCTGTCAACAGACACCGGGAACCTGGCTGACCGTAACCCGCTCCTCTCCGCGCTTTGCTTAGCAGTCAGTTCTTCCAAGGACCACCATTCTACTCTGTTGTCTGTCCTGCAGGGACGAAGCCCCCCCCCTCCCCTCCCGACCCCACCCCTGCAGCCCTTGTGCTCTGTGGAGGCAGCAGGATAAGTTCCAGACAGGAACTCTGAAGGACTTTTGGACTCTTGCTCAATGGGCTGACTCAGTGAGGAGGTGGTGGCTGGCCTCTCCTTCCAGACCTCCGCCTGGGCTCCACCCACCCCTCCCCCTCCCTGCTCTAGCCAACAGCTGCCAGCCCTGGCCAGCTGGGATCCCACCGAGGGTGTGGGTTTGGGAAAGCGATAAGAGGTGGTCACAGGTGTTTGGGTAAGTGGTGTGCTGGGCTGTACCTACACCACCAAAGTGCCATCCAGTCATAGGGAGGCAGAGAGGCCGGTGTTTTTCTTTCCATCCTTGGTAACTTGTAGTCGGCTGTTGCCTCCATCCGCTCCCAGCAATCCAATAGACCCTTCCCTCCTTGGGAAGGCTTCTGGGTATTCTGATGGCTTGAGATTTGGGGACAACTCTCTGGCATGGGGTTGCTTCCCCGACCTACAGGTGAATGACCAGGTCCAGACAGCATGGTGCCCAGGTCCTTGCATCCCAGACCGGCCTTGGCTTTGTGCTCACCCCCTAGCCATGTCTTGCAGTGCCTTTAGCCAGTGGGACAGTAGGCCATGCCCCCTACCTCCCATGCTCTCTCGGTGAGGATGGCTATGCCTCATGAAGACACCTTGTCATCTCCGTCCTTTGCCACCCTGTCCCATCTTACCGCTTTTCATCTCCTCTCTTGTTCTTTTTCTGGTTCTTGTCCAGACACCAGTTCAGTTAACCCCTTCGGACCTAGAGGACTTTCTGCGGAGGAGACCTAGTCGGGGGAGCTAGGCTGTGCCCTCAGAATGCCCCCACCCCAGGAAACCTCTGACCCCAGATCATTCCAGAAACACCATCCTCACTTCCACTTCCCCCTCACCCCCAAGCATTGAACCACAGGAGGCTTCACAGAGTGCTTTTGTTGTTATTTTCTCTTGAAAGCTGGGAAAACTCCAGGCCACCTCCACATCCTGGCCCAGGCTGGAACGGGCAGAGCCCCTTCTTCCTCTGTGCCCCCTCCCCCCCGAAATTCATCATGGAGAGTAAGGATGAGGTCAGTGACTCCGACAGTGGCATCATCCTGCAGTCTGGTGAGTGATCCAGGAAATTCCCCTGCCCCGGTCCCCCTGACTCCAGCCTGAGTCCCTGGGCCCCGGGCTAGTTACGCTAAAAACTCCCAAAGGGCTGGGGAAGGAGAGGGTGGAGAGAGAGAGGCTTCTGCTGGGGAAGTGGGGGGACTGGAAGGTCTGGCACCTCAAGGAACTGCAGTTTTCCTTGCTGGAAGGCACTAGCCGGGAGTTTCTGTCCTATCTGGAGCAGGGATCCACCATGTCCAACTTTAGCTCCGGCGATTACCAAGAAATTGAAAACTCTTCTCTAGCTGGTGTTAATGTCCTGTCTCACTGCTAAGCCTGAGCCCGTGGGTCTAGTCTGGCCTGGCTTTGATAGAGGGCAGGAGAGGAGGGGGGAAGACACAGGCCTGACCATGAGCCTCTCCTCGATATGGGTCACCTGGTGGGACGGCTCTCCCTGTAATGCTAACCAACCTTTGGGCAGCCAGGAGACATGATGTTCTGTGGTTGTGACACAGACCACAGCAGCTAGCCTGTAATTTGTGGGCAAGCATGAGACGGCAGGGGTGTGTGCACTCCCAGAGGTGGTCAACAGTGCCCTAGGGATGCCGCCTTGCTTCGGTGTTCCTGAGCAAGTGTCCCTCGTCGTCCCGCAGGCCCGGACAGCCCTGTTTCCCCAATGAAGGAGCTGACCAACGCGGTTCGCAAGCAGCAGAGGGCCCTGGAAGCGAGGCTGGAGGCCTGCTTGGAGGAACTGCGCAGACTATGCCTGAGGGAGGCGGTAAGACCCCTGGAGCCCCTCCCCCTACAGACTTAGGGTTCATCCGAGGAGCCCGGGAGCTATGTTGTAGGGTATTGAGGCCAAGGGGAAGGTCACGTTTTTGAGGGGATTGGAAATCAGACTGAGGTCTGGGCCTGGACTCTCCCTCATGTGGGTTTGACCCGGACACTGGGTAGAGGGGAATTAGAACTGGCAGGGGTTTCCAGTACAGGAAAGGAAGAGATGAGGGGCTGCAGAGGGTCCAAAGAGATGGAAGCACATTTGGAAACTGTGCCTTGGGTCAGGGTAGCCCTCAGGAGGAAGTGGCCAGAGGGAGAGAGCAGAGTGCGCTTCCAGAATGGGAATGAGAAGACAGCTGTGGCATGATGGGATGAGGTAGGGAAGAGATTTCAAAGGTCTCTGGAATGCCAGGTCCATGCCATGTGGAACTAGACGGCAAGTTTAAATGGTTGAACCAGGGTTAAGCAAGCGGAGAGGGGCCTGACTTGACTCTGTTTCCCCCCAGGAGCTGACGGGCACTTTGCCCACAGAGTATCCCCTTAAGCCAGGCGAGAAGGCCCCCAAGGTCCGGCGCAGGATTGGAGCAGCGTACAAGCTGGATGAGTGGGCTCTGCACAGAGAGGTGAGGAGGCTGTGTCAGAGGTGATGGTCGCTGTGCCTCCTCCCCAAAGGCTGACTCCTGAAGCAGCCCAGTGCCCTGGCCATCTCTCCCATCCAGTGTGGGTGCTGGCCGTGTTCATCCGGGGCTTCTCCTCACGGATAGGCCAGCTGGCTCTGAGTAAGCACGCCACCTCAGCAGCTGGAGAGCTGGGAGCTCAAGGGAAGACGCTGGGCTTGGCCCTAGCGGCCAGAGGATTAAGAATACCGATAACCACCACAAAGAAGCAGCGGCCGGGGAGGCTGGGGTAGCACAAGGGCTGTCCTTTCTCAGCCTAGCTGGAAGGAGGTGGGGTGGCTCTGGCGCTAGGTGACCTGCCCCTTGGAGAGATTCCCAAGGGTTGACGTGCTTGGTTCTTTGGGGTCAGGAAGGAAAGTGTCCCACTTAAATCCTCGCCCAGCCCTGCACAGCAGGTAGCTGGGGTGGGACTGTCGCGCTAACTTTTCATAATGACAAGTTGGCTTTGAGCGCCTCCCGCCGCCGCCGCTCCGCCCTACCCCTTTGCTCTATGTCCCTGGACACTGCTGTCTGCTCGGCACCGGGTCGGGGCTGCACGGAATGTTCTTTTCCCCAAACGCCCAGGACTTCTCGGCCCTCACTCCCGACCCCTCTTCCTCAGGACCCCCTGAGCAGCCTGGAGCGCCAGTTGGCTCTGCAGCTTCAGATCACCGAGGCGGCTCGCAGGTTGTGTGCGGAGGAGAACCTCAGCCGGCAGGCTCGCAGGCAGCGGAAGCACGCTGCCCTACAAGAGGAGAAGAAGCTGAGGGAGCTTGAGCGCTGCCTGGGTGATCGGCGGCGGAACAGCGAGCCCCCGCCCACCACTGTGCCCTCCCTGGCCAGAGGTGAGCCCGCTTCACACGGCGCAGCAGCCCTCTACTCCATTTTGCGTTATGCTTCTGGCTATTGCCTGTGTTAAATGTTTCGCATTAGCGCCATCAGGGTACTCCTTCCTGGGTCCACACAGACTCCATCAAGGCATCTCTACCTTGGGAGAGACCTTCTCCAGCCCACTTCCTCCTTCTGCATCTCCTGCATCGTAACCCACTTTTACAAGACTTTCTAGGCAGAAGGCATTTCTCTGCTTGATCGTAACCCAAGGGTTTATACATTCTGGAATATTATCTTCGGGTTAAAGTGCAGTAAACCAAAGGTTTTGCAGTGACGCACTTCCCTCTAGCTGGTCCCCATCCTCCATGCCCAGGTCATCCTTGGGAACCTGTAGTAGACAGCAAAGAGTAATGTGTTCTTCCATGTCATGGCTGATCAGGAAAGCCGGAAGAGCATTAGACTGACCCAGGGCCTAGTGGCCAGACCCTGTTATGCTTCCAGTTGCTCCGGCCCCAATGTAGGACATCATTCTCCCCAAGGCTCTAAGAAAAAAGGCATTCTCCGTCTGCTCCCCATTTCCCAAAGGCCCTGGGTATGGTAATGATAGCTGCTGACTGAGGCATAGTGATCCCCAAGGGCCGCCTCTGTACTTGAAGGCGCCATCAATGATGAGATGTGTCCTGTCCCAGTTGGTCTCAACCCCTGTGGTCCCTCTCCAGCATGTACTGTTCGGAAGCTCTTTTGCCCATAGGTGCTGCCGTTGCCAGGAGCTTCTGCTCAGAGTGGGGTTTGGGGGGGACTGTCACAACTGCTGCCATTGAGACTGGTGACACTCCTTGTTAGAAGTGGGGAAGCAGGCCAGGACCTGCCTGTGGCTCTGGCTTAACCCTGTGTAGGAGGGAGAAGTTGAGGTTCTCAGGGCCTTTAGCCCAGAGAAGATGGAGGTGTGTATAGGAACCGGCTGGCACAGCAAGCGATGTGTTTGGCTCCAGCACGGACCCTGCCCTCCAGACGGGCCTGAGGTTCTGGGTTCTGGTGTCCTGACTTGGGAGCTCAAGAGGAGGTAGTTCTGGACTGGTCATTCCTGTTCTGTGGCTCCTCTGTCACTGTGCTCGCCTGGAAAGGAGGAAGTAGAGAGAGATTAATAATTAGTTTGAGGCTAGAGGGTGTTTTCAATTAAAAAGGAAAAATAAGCAAACAAACTCCAAAAAAAAAAAATCAAAACGAAACCCCACCCACCCTCTTTACACACAAGGGTTATTCAATTTGAGAAAGTAATTAGCCAGCTGAGGGTAATTAGTCAGTTCTCTGCAGGTGGCAAGGAGCAGTCAGGTGTTGAGCTAATTTTGAGAAGAGTGAGCCTGAGAATCACCCCCTGAACTCCTAATGCAATGGGGTGCTCAGTATGTGTTTATTGATTGACGGTGTCAGTCTTGAGCAACACTGTCTAATAGGAACTCAATGATGACGGAAATGCTGTGCTGTCCATCTCCTGCATGTCACTACCGAGCATTTGATCTGTGCCCCGGGTGACGGAGGAACTGAATTTTTAATTTGAATTAGTGGTGGCACACACCTTTAATCCCAGCACTCGGGAGGCAGAGGCAGGTGGATCTCTGTGAGTTCGAGGCCAGCCTGGTCTACAGAGTGAGATCCAGGACAGGCACCAAAACTAAATGGAGAAACCCTGTCTCGGAAAAAAAAAAAAAAAATTAGTGTAGCCTCATGTATGGTTTGGTTTGTCAGGCAGTGTAACTTGGTAAGTATGGTCTTGTAGTGACATCTCTGCCTGGGGTATTCTGCCAGGACTGCCGGAGGAGAATTGTGGTAGACAGAGAGCAGGACAAGGGTGGAGACAGGGAGCATCTCAGGAGCCACTGGTGTTTGGCAGCTGGTCCTCCCAGTTTCCACCCCGCAATGCCAGCGTGTCTGGAGACTTTCCTCATAGCATTTCACCTTCTGACGCACCAAACCGATAGTGTTGTTTATATGAGGATTAGAGGCAATGGGGACCGGTGTCTTCCCAGACCTTTGCATCCTAACCAACGCCTACAATTTGAACCCACATTGACCTAGTGGGCTGCGAGAGTAACACTTGGGTAATTTTTTTCAACTTGACAATTTTCAAAAAATAAAATACTTTGTTCTTAAAATTTTTGTCGAAGACCCGAAACAGAGAACCAGAATTCAGTAAGAGGGCTTCTTTTCCCTGGACCTAAAGCCAAGGTCAGCTGTCGGTTCTGCAGAGCTTCGGCTGGCTTCTCAGCCGCCTAGCCGCAAAGCCACAGACGATAAGAATTGCTATAGGTAAAGTTGATGTTTGGTTTTAGTTACAGATCGTAGATTGGCAATTTTCTCCATAAAGATCTGGAGAGCAAATATTTTAGACTCTATGGGTTATACAGTCCCTTATCACAGCCAACTCTGCCATGTCAATGCTGAAGCAGGGACATCACGGATTGGTGGTTGTGTCTCAATATGACTTCACTGGTGAAGTCGGCCCGTGGACTGGATTTGGTCTGTGGGCCGAAGTTTACCAGCCTTTCTTTTCTTTTTTTTTTTTTTGGTTTTTCGAGACAGGGTTTCTCTGTGTAGCTTTGCGCCTTTCCTGGAACTCACTTGGTAGCCCAGGCTGGCCTCGAACTCACAGAGATCCACCTGGCTCTGCCTCCCGAGTGCTGGGATTAAAGGCGTGCGCCACCACCGCCCAGCTTTACCAGCCTTTCTTAATGAAAGATTTTGGCTGCTCATAATTAAATTGTGGGATTGGATTCCAAAGTTAATACTATTATCACGTTCACGTTATGAAATAGAACTTTAGGAAAAATCATCTGACAGAATGTAGACATTATGCTTTAGTGAGGTGTACGACGATAATATAACTAGCTAACTTGGATGAACAATGGCTATTTCATGTTATCCAAAGGCAAAACCCTCAAAATGTCAGATGAAGTTGATATTTATTAATGTCAATTACATAAACGGACAATAACTTGATTGAAATATAAAATTTAACACTGTCTTAAAAAAAAAAAGATTTCAAGATGGTTGAGACAGTTTGCTCTTCTTCGAACTTTCTGGTAATGACCTGTGCCGGCTGACGGGAGAGCTGATCAGGGAACGAGGCTTACTTAGAGCAGAGGCTCTAGCCAGACTGGCCGGGTGTGAATTCTTCAGCAGCAGCCACCTTTTTGGTGGATTGACCCAAACCTCCTTGCTGGGCTAAGACTCCGTTTCCTCTGTTACATGGAGATGGTAGTATTTACCTTAGCTGTTACGGGTTTTACATGAATGAGTGTATGCAACATGTTCAGGAAGTATTGGCACAGTAGAAACATTAGCCATGATTAATGTTTTCTCATCTTCATTTTCAAATAGTTGAAAATGTTTCTGGGTTCCGTCTGAGTCACTCAGAGTTAGCCTTAAACTCCAGAGCATTACATCTGTTCCTGGGCAAAACCTGAAATAAGACTCCTCCCAATTTCCTGAGTGACAACTGCTGTTGTTTCACACGGAACTGCCGTGCTCCGTCTCCCTCAGGCGACATCCACAGCATCAGCAGACGACTCTCCTGATGGCCGGCTGGCCAGACCCTGTCCTAAGTTGGCCTCATGGTCCCCACAGCCCCTCCCACCCCCACTGCTCTCGTGGGTACTACAGGAATTCTTCTGTGTCAGACCCTGGAGATGAGTTGCCCTGGTGATGTTTGAAGATTACAGACACCCCGGCAGAACGCTCTTCATCCTAAGAGCCTTCTAAAAGGGCTTTCCATCTTTCCCTTTATCCCCAGGAAGTCCTGCTCTTGTTGGCTGATGGGAAGTCTGTGGTCCAGAGCCTTGAAATGGCTTACTCAGGGTTGCGTGGTTCAGGATAGAGCAGGATTAGCCTCACCTTTCCTGCCTCCCAGACCCTAGTTTGTGAACCCTTTTTACCTCTAAGTAACAAGTTCTGAACACATGCTTTAGTGCGTGGCGGGTATTTCCTGGGGGGGTTCAGCGGCTCTCCTGGCTGCAGAGGAATTGGGCTGCTGAACTCTGGGCTGATCGTCTCACTTCTCTTCCCTCCCCTCTGATGTTGCAGAGCTCAGCGCCTCTGATGATAGCTCCCTGTCGGATGCGCTGCTCCTGGAGGAAGGTGAGCTGGGAAGTCTGGGGACGCAGTCAAGACTGCGGGGATTTGCAGTTTGCTAGCGAGGACTCCCCGTAGGACTGGAGAGTTTAGGGTGCTGATGAAGGCTGGGGTCCCAGCTAAGGGTCTGTCTCAGACTGATGTCAGTTTCTGTGTGTCCGGCGGGCACGTGCCCCGTTTGAGGGTGGGGGATGTGCTGAGCGCCTCTTTCAATGGATCCTTTTGATGAGGAAGGGAAAGATGAGCTCTAGCCTGGCCCGTTAGCCCCGGGTGTCTCTGCTTCACTCAGAGGCTATATTTCGGAGCCAGTTAGAGCCAATTAGTGGTCTACTCAAAATCATTGCCGTGGTTGAGAAGAAGGTAGAGCTGGAGAGGAAGTACACGTCTGTGGAGTGAGGACCTTGTTTAAAAGTATTGAGGGTCAGAGTGGACTAAGAAGGCAATGCGGGTGTGCCCAGGGTGTGCCCAGGCCAATAAGGAAATGGGGCACCTAGGTGCAGCAGAAACCAGAAAACTAGCTCGCTGCAGACAGGCACCGTGAGTGCTGTCTAGAAATGTTAGAAAGTGGAGTAGAGAGAATCAGGAAAGAGGCAGGTGTAAAATTAAGGCGGGGCTGGGTGGAAGGGAGGGAGTCCTAAAGAAAAATAAAACAGCTTTTCTTATCTGGGATTGGGGCTATGGCCTGGAGCAGTAAGTCAGGGCATTGAGGAGCGAGAGCAAGGCACAGGCTGTGGAGGTTCTGGCTGAGCCGGTTTTCCCCAGCCGCTGCCTTTCCTACCCCTGCAGAAGATTCCAAAGCGCCAAAACCTGCCCCAGAGTCCCCGGCACCACCTTCACGGCCGCTCCCACCCCAGAGCCTTGAGGGCCTGCAGCCAACAGGACCTGAGTCTGGCGGCCTGGAACGGGCCCCGATCCAAAACAGTCCGTGGAAGGAGACCAGCCTGGACCACCCCTATGAGAAGCCTAGGAAGTCTTCAGAGCTCAGTAGCGAGTCCAGGTCAGGCTGGGGAGGAAGGGGGTAGGGGAGAGCCCAGAACAGGTGGGAAGTGGCCCAGACTGGGGATGTGGATGGAGGAACGTGCAGGTGATCACTCTCCTTAGCTGTGTGATGCCAGAGGTGTGAGAACTGGTAGCTCTTGGGAATGCTGACACTTTGTACCACTCCCTTTGGGGCCCTCTGCCTTGTGAGCCTTTAAATTAGTGATTTTCAACCTGTGGGGTCCCTAACCCTTGGGTGGAGAACAACTCTTTCACAGGGGTCACCCAAGACCATCAGAAAACACAGATATTTATGTTACAATTCACAACAGTAGCAAAATTATAGCTATAAAGTAGCAACGAAGTAATCTTATGGCTGGGGGATCCCCACAGCATTAGGAAGGTTGAGAACCACAGCTCTAAATAAAGACATTGCTGTCGCTGACTTATCCAATCCCTTCACAGCAGCCCGGCCACCACTCCTCAGGACCAGCCTAGCACCTCCAGCCTGTGGCTGCTGGATCCTGCCTCCTGCCATGTGGTCCCCGTCCGAAATGTTCCTGGCCAGCGGCAGGGCCGCACCAGTGCCCCAGCTACCCCTGAGATGCAGGGCCGGAGGGGCCAGTCGCAGTCTCTGAGGTGAGAAGGCTGCCCTAGAGGTGCAGGGGATAGCCCATTCCTATCCCAAGCTACACAGGTACCGCTGAGACACCCTGGGTGGCACATGGCTAGCGCCTTGGGTGCTCCTTTGCATCCCTCCCTGGGGTGCCTCTCCGAAGAGGTGGAGGCTGCTCTTCCACAGAGTCCAAAGCATTTCGTTCACGAAGGAAGCATTCCTTGACCTGGGCTTTCCAACCTTGTCCTGTTTTCTTGCACTGACGAATATTGGTTTATTGTTGGCCGCTGGCAGTGTGTAGTTCCCTCTTCCAATTGATGTACAGTTGGTTCTCATTATTCACGGTAGTTGTGTTCTGCAACATTGCTATAAACACACAATTTCCTATAGCAGTGGTTCTCAACCTGTGGGTCTCAACCCCTTTGGGGATCAGATGACCCTTTCACAGGGGTCGCCTAAGACCACCGGAAAACACAGATATTTACATTACAGTTCGTAATAGTAGCAAAATTAGAGTTACAAAGTAGCAGCAAAAGTAATTTTATGGTGTGTGGGGGGGTCCACCACAACATGAGGAACCATATTAACCGTCACAGCATTAGGGAGGTTGAGAACCACAGTCCTATAGGGAAATACAAGTTTTGGTGACAGTGTTGCTTATTAACTGAGTAGTGTATATATCCTTATTGAACATGAGTTTCTGTTTAAGGACAGTTTCTGTTTAAGGATACTTAATATATCTGTGGCTTCATTAACACTGAACTCACTGAACTTCCTTAACTAACGCATGTAACTTAGTCCGAATGAAGCCGATCCAGCAGTCTTACTTTCTCTACAAGACACTTCACAGCACTCTTGTGCTTCGAAACTGCAGGGGGCACTTCAGCATCACCTGTGGGGCCATTTTAAATATCAAGTAGCCAGAGGCAGGCGGATCTCTGTGAGTTCTAGGCCAGCCTGGTCTACAGAACTAGGTCCAGGATAGCCAGGGCTACACTGAGAGACCCTTTCTCAAAACAAGAAAGCAAGCAAACAAAAAAAAAAATGATCAAGTCACCCCCTCCAAGGTACACTAAGTAATACCGCAGGACACCTAAAGGATGAACTACGACGACAGCGGCATGCGGACTCCTATTTAGTTCTGTTTCTTTGTGGGGCAGAGCTGGGGGAGGAACTGAGGGCCGCGTGAGTGATGGAGAAGCTTTCTTACATGCCCTCAGCTGTGTTTTGTTATTGTTGTTGTTTGTTTGTTTGTAGATAAGGTTTCCCTATGTAGTCTAGACTGGCCTGGAATTCACCATCCCCCTGCCTCAGCCTCCTTGGTGCTGTACCTCTGTGCCACCACAGGACACTCAGCACTTGGTTTTTGTTTGGCCTCTGCTGGTGATGCGTATGTAAAGCAATCCGAGTTCTTCGGTGTATCAAGTGACCATGAGCATGTGTGAGTTACTTTTCTCCTTCGATACTGGGACAAAACACTCGGCAAAAACACTCAAGGAAGGAGGCTTTATTTTGGTTCACAGTTTGAGATGCTGTCCACTATGTAGGGAAGGCGTGGTGGCAGGAGGGTGAGGTGACTGTCACCCTGCATCTTTGGTCAGGAAGCAGAGAGAGAGGAGTGCTGGGTCCCAGCTCACTCTCAGTCTTTGTTTGTTTGTTTGTTTGTTTGTTTGTTTGTTTGTTTGTTTTCCTGGAACTCACTCTGTAGACCAGGCTAGCTTCGAACTCAGAGATCTGCCTGCCTCTGCCTCCTGAGTGCCAGGATTAAAGGTGTGCGCCACAGCTCAACAACTCACAGTCCTTTAATTCAGCCCAGGATCCACCCATATTTAGGGTGGATCTTCTCACTTCAACTAACCCAGTGTAGACACTCCCTCACAGACATACTGAGGTTTGTCTTGTAGATGATTCTAGATCCTGTCAAGTTGACAAGCTTGGCCATTGTGAAAACGCTGTGTATATTGGCTTTGGAATTAGCAGATCAATTTTAGCAAGTAGGTGAATTATCTGGCAAATCTGAAACCTGTGAATAACGAAAATCAACTGTGTGTTTCTTTACAGCCCCCGATACCCGGTAATAGTTTCAGTCAGTGAGGTATGAAAGGTGGCGTTAGCCATGCCTGCCTGGTGCCACCAAAGCCTCTTCAATTTGCGTATCAGGTAGCCCTGGACGAGTTCAACAGCTGTAAAGCCAAATTTATTTTATATGGTACCTGCCGCCAAGGTCATTTTATAAACAATGTCTGTGTGCAAATTTTTTAAAGGGCAACCCAGCCCCATGCCCGGTATATAAGCAGGGCAGGGGCTCGATTTTTAGCCCCTGCGGGATCCTGCATTACATGCACCCGCCCTTTGGAACACATGAAAGCTTTTCACATTTACATTAGGTGCTTGACAGTGTCTAACCAGAGTCGGAATGAAATGCTACTGAACATTGCCTGCCCTAGCTGGCTGAGCAGTGTGACATGGATGTAGCAGAATGTTGGCCCTTCTCAGCTGTGGACTGAGTCAACCGAGAAACCAAAATACTATAAAAATCACATATGTACCGAACACGTACAGATTCTTTTTGCAGGGCTGGGGATTGGACATAGGATGCCATGCATGCTAAGCAAGTGTCCTTACCTCTGAGCCACGTTCCCTGTCCATCAGATTTTTTTGTTTGGTTGGTTGGTTTGGTTTTGTTTTTCGAGACAGGGTTTCTCTGTGTAGCTTTGGAGCCTGTCCTGGGACTCGCTTTGTAGAACAGGCTGGCCTCGAACTCACAGAGATCCGCCTGCCTTTGCCTCCCGAGTGCTGGGATTAAAGGCGTGCGCCACTGCCGCCGCCGCCGCCGCCGCCGCCGCCGCCGCCGCCGCCGCCACCACCACCACCACCACCACCACCACCACCACCACCACCACCACCACCACCTGGCTGTCCATCAGATTCTTGTCACTATTCCTAAATAGTACAATATGTGAACTAGTTACATAGCATTTACACTGTATTAGGAATTGTAAGCACTCCAGAGATGATTTAAAGGCCACAGGATGTATTGTGTGTAATACTTAACCTATTTTGTGAAAGGGACTTGTGACCTGGATTTTGTGGCTCAGGCCAGCACTCGTGGAATCAGTTTATCCTGACGTGGAAAATGCTAGAAGGAATCACTTGTGTGTGAATGGAGCAGGAGCAGTATAGCAATACAGCATGCAGGGAGGGAATGTATTACCTCTGCATATTAGGACAAGACTGAGGAGGAGTCTGACCAGAGTAAGACCTAGCACATGCTCACTGCCCTGGCCTCCAAGGTCATAACTCATCACTCCAGTGTGGCTCCTCTCCAGCTCAATGCTTTCCTGCTTTCCTCTTCAGGGTGGACTCCTTCCGAACAGGCGTGGAAGGCCGAGGTCGGAGTGCCTTTCCCCGCCGCCGCCCCACTCACTACACGGTCACCGTGCCAGACTCGTGCTTCACGCCCAGCAAACCCCCGCTGCCACACCCTGCCTGCCACTCTTGCTCTGAAGACAGCGGCTCTGACGTCTCCAGCATCTCCCACCCCACCTCACCCGGCAGCAGCAGCCCAGACATCTCCTTTCTGCGGCCCCTCTGTCCCCCTGAGCCACCTCGCCATCGTGGGGCCTGGGGCCCGGCCTGCGGCAGAGAGCTGGCCACTCACTACCCTAAACTGCTGCTGCCCGCTGGTTACTTCCCCACGGGGCGCTATGTGATGGTGGCCGAGGGCCACCTGCCACCGGGCGAGTGGGAGCTGTGTCGCGCAGCGCTGAGTGCTGCCTACGACGAGGAGGGTGCTCCCCTGCGCTACCAGCGCCTGGTGCCCTCCCACAGCCGCATCGTGCGCACGCCCTCGCTGAAGGACAGCCCTGCGGGCAGGGGACTCAGCAAGGCAGCCGTCTCCGAGGAGCTCAAGTGGTGGCACGAGCGGGCACGTCTCCGGAGCAGCCGCCCCCACTCGCTCGACCGCCAAGGGGCTTTCCGTGTCAGGAGCCTGCCTCCCGGGAGGGAGAGCTTCGGGCGGGCCTCGGGACCCCGGACACAGGTACAGCTTCCCTTGGGGGAAGACAGTGGGTCAGCAGACTTCTGGCTCAGTGATCCCCAGTTAGGAAAATTAGGGCCCCCCAAAAGTATTTCCTCTTGGCTTTAGAAGGCACGACTGACTTCCCTGGGCATGGCTCTTGCTTGTGGCTACTGTGTCTAGTGTCTCCTAGTGAAAGAGCAACCTTACCAGTGTGCCCTGGTAGAGATCATCCACATAGATAGCGGGGGGAGATTTTTTTTTTTCCCCTAACGGCTTCACAGATGATCCACAAAACAGATAAACTTCCTCATAACCAAATGTGCAACCCTAATTAACCCCTGGAATTTCCTGACTCGAGGGCCCGGGGCAAAGGGAGAATCTGGAAGATGGGTTTGCGGAAAGCAACTCAGTGCTGCCAGGCTGAGAAACAGATGGTCTCATAGTTAACAGCTAGACGACCAGGAGGATCTAATCCCAGGGCCGCTTCTTATAAGTTCTCTGCTCCTGTGGGGTGCTTAACTCGTAGGTTTCCCTTCCTTACCCACCTCTAAAGGATAGGTATAGTAAGTGACCCCTCTCAGGGTGGGTGAGAGGCTAAAATGATTAAGTGATAATGTTGTCACCCAGGCTCCCGGAGGCCAGGGGGTAGGTTGTGGTGGTAGTATGTAGGATTAAGATCACTCTGACTTCGGGTAGGGGTGCAGCCTTGGTTCCTGTAAGCCCCGTTTCTTCTTTCTGGGAGTGAGGAGAGCAGGCATGAATCCTTCCTTTATTCTCCCTCCATGATTCAGAAGGCTATGCAGGGGACACGCTCTAGAAGTTACCAACAGGCTGCTCCTTTGAGACCCCAGATTCCCAGCAGCCCAGCTGCATCATCCTCCCCTCCCCCCAGGTCCTTTGGGCGGTTTGCAGCTGCAATCCCTGGCTGGGCAGCACCCTGGCCCAGTCCCAGGCTGCACACCCTTTCAGCTGACGTGCTTTTCCCTTCCTGCGAGCTTGGACCTGTCTTTGGTCTAGGCTTAGCCCATCCCAACCTGTCAGACAGGGACGGTGATGAGACATGAGTCCAGGAAAGGTGGGGAAGAAGGTCAGGGTGCCCGTCACACCCCAGAGAACCTGGAGTGGTAAACAGAAGAGGGGGGGGGTGGTACCTGGGAGCGTCATTCCTGGGGAGGGCGGGAGCCGACCACCGGGGCTTCACAATGGACGGTCTATGCCTTTAAGCAAAAGCAGTGGTGTGAGTGGGCTCACAGTGCTGACATTTCCGCCCAGTTTGCTCATCCGCCTCTCCTTTCTCCCTGCCTGTGACAGGTGCCCCCAGTGTGTGTACTCCGGAGGTCGCCAGACGGGGCTCCCATGCAAGTCTTTGTGCCTGAGAACGGAGAGATCATCAGCCAGGTGTAACGACTCTGCAAGCCTTGGCCACGACCGGGAAAGACTTTTATATTGGAGCTGGGGGTTGAGACCCTCACCCTTAAGTGCTTCTTTCGGCTCTCCTACCCTCATCGCCGGCCGATGACTCAGAGCTGAGACCTTTCTTTTTTACACGAGTGTTTTCCAGAAGCCCTGACGTGAGGACTTATATCTGTGATTTGTTGTCTTCAAGGTTCCGATAATATGATTATATACTTCATCCCCCAGAGTCTGGCCTTTTGGACTTAAGGTCTCGCTGGGCTAGTTGACAGCAATTGTCTTCTTATGCAGGACAAGTGGCATCGAGGGCCTCGTGGGGTTCCCCGGATGCTCTGTGCCTTCTTTCTGAGGTTCTTACCTGCTGGAGGCGGGAGGCGGTACACACGCAACAAGGACTCTTCTTCCCTTGTTTCCGAGATCTCTGGGTACCACTCGCTGGGCAGGGCTCTCCTCTCCCCTTTATGTGCTCTATGATGCACACCACTCAGCGGCAGGACACGGCAGTATGTCCTGGTGGAGCCTTGTCTTCCCGCCATTTTCCTGACTCCACGGGTCTCAGTTAGCAGCCCTCAGCACTGTTCTGTCTCCATACCCTGGAGCTCCCAGACCACTGAACCTGGAGTTGGAGGCTAACACTAGACTCTCCAATCAGGGGCCTGGGCTAGGGGGCTGGTGGGTGGGAAACACCTCATCCTTCACAGCCACTTCTGGGCGTTGTGAGACTGGGCTGGCGGCCAACTATGCCCGCTAAAATCTTCATAGTCTTCGACACCAGCACCTTGAAAATTATATATATATAAAGTGTCATTCTGTGGCGTGTTTGAGGTGTGAGGAGGCAGTTACTGCCCCTTCCATTTTCTCCCCAGCCAGCTTCTGCTCTGAGAAAAATCCTTGTTTGTTCACCCCTGGAGAAGCTCACTGATGACTCCTGATGGGGTGTTGGATTGTCTTAGACGACATGAACGAATTGTCCCAGGTTCCCAGACCAGGCAAGCCAGGAAGCTGCCTGCGTTTAGACTTCCCGCACGCTTAACCTTCTAATCCTTAGGCCTCCTTTGCTGCCTGGGCAGATGCCCAGGTCAGCATCTTGCCTAGGAGCAACTAGGAAGGTTAGCGATGTGATTGTGTGTGGCCTTCTTCCCTTGAGCTCGCCCCCAGTTCTTCCCTGGACTGGAAAAACACTGATCCCGACTCCAATGGTCTGTTTCTCCTGCTGGAGAGAAAACAGTGTGGCCCCATGGCACTGGGGTTGGGGGAGGGGCAGTGTTAGGAATTTGGGAGGCTAGAGGGGGCTTGAGGGGGTGCACAGGGCATTTCTGTCACTGTGTTCTTACTCCATCCTCTGGTGTCTCAGCTCCACTCTCCACATTGTGTTTGAATGCCCTGCTTTGGTTTGTCTGGCTTCTGAGCCCCTTCCCTAGTCTAGAGATGCCCCCCTCACACACCCCCGCTCCCAGTATGTGCTCTGGATCCCTAAGTGCCTTAGATCCTAGTCACAGAGCTGAGGGACCTGTGAACGCTGGTCCCTTCCCACACCTGAGCATCCTTCACATTAACTTATTGGTCTTACCTAACAGCTGTTTCGTGTGTTCGCACAGTGGTGGTGCCCGCAGCTGCAGGGCGGAAACCATGCAACACTGTGCCAGATACTTCAATAAAGTCCGATTGGCCCAGATGACGATGAAGGATTTTGTGTGTTTGTGTTGAGTTTTCTGAACAAAGGCTGTGCGCGGCTCCCTGAGGTGTTTGGCTGACCATTCCAACTCTGGCCATGTCCCTAGGGAGCAGGTGGGGTGGCCGAGGGGGACCCAAGCTGCTTCTCTGACCAAAGGGAATCCTCCACTGCTCCTTGAGGTCTCCAGGGCCCGAGAGCTGTGCTTTGGGAATCACTTCCTCCAGAGAGATCAGACTTTGGGGACAGCCTCACCTCTGATTTCAAATGGCCCGAGCCAAGCAGTGGTTAAAGGCTTGTGAGAAGCTGTGACTGGAAAAACAGGCTTTCCTTGGGTAAGGAGGGGTTGTCCATAACCCCTTCTGTGTTCCCACAAAGAGCCCACAGCGCCTCCCTCCACCGTGGTGTGGGTGGGGGTGGGGGATGGGAGACTGCAGCTTTCACTGCTGCCCTGTAGGGGGTGCTCAGGATCTGGGAGCCCAGCGGCCCCTAGGACTGCAGCTTCTGGAGAAGCTTGTGGCCTGAGTCTGAGGTAGTGTGTGTCAGGTAAAGGGGTCTCTGTTTTGCCTGCCCCTCTCCACAGTTAAGGAAGAGGTAGGTCACAAAGGGTCAGGCAGATGGCTATGCAGCGGCCCTGCCCTGGGTGCCCAGCCCAAGGGACTGTGGGGATCTGACCTTGAAGGACCTGGTTTCATTAGGCCTGGGGTCACTCCATGCTAGGGGTCGGGCAGGGAGGGAAGATAGTTCCAGAGCCTCTAGAGAGAAGTTGGGGGCATCCTTATCTGAGACCTGAACATCAATTTAATTATTAGCTGTGGGCACTAGGGACTTGATTTTGGATTTAACTTACTTTGTGGTGAGTTTGAACTTTATTTTGCTGTGTTGGGGATGGGGCCCAGAGTTTCTTTCATACGTGTCAGGTAAGTATTTGATTTTCTATTTTAGCTGCTCGTTATCTGTTAGTTCAAGGAAATATATTTTTAGATTTTTTTTTTTTTAATATGTATGGGTGTTTTGTCTGTATGTGAACTGTGTGTGTGTGCAGTACCCACGTCAGCGGGAAGAGCGCATCCGATTCCCTGGAACTGGATTTACTCTGAGCTACCAGGAGGGCGCTGGTCATGGAACCTGGGTTTTCCAGAAGAGCAGCCAACACTCTTAACTGTTGGACCATCTCTCCAGCCCCCCACCCCCCACCCCCCAACTCCAGGAAAAAACTTAACCCAATGCCAGAGGATTCTGCTGTGATAATCTGTCCAGGAGGTCAGGCAGGTTGAAGTGGGAGGGGCAAAAAGGGGGGGAATAGAGAAGTTTCAAGCAGCCAGCCATGAACTGTACCAGTGTGAGGACCTGGTTTGGGCAGCAGTTCCTTTCTGTCCACAGGCTAGTTCTGCTGGGCCATGTCTGGGAGGGGCAGGCGGGTGTGGAGCGCTTAGCTCCCCTACCAGAGGACAGAATGGGGTGATGAACCCCAGGGAATGCCTCTCTGCTCAGAGCAGCTTCAGGATTTGACCTTAAGACACCCAGTGCCATGGATGGAAACACCCCTGGGAGCCAGCTTGAGTCTGAGATCGCTGCAGGGGAGATCTTTGGATGGAGGATGCTTGCACAAGCCAGGAGGAAACAGGGCCCTTCAGGGGGTTGGTCACCTCCCCTTGAGGGAGCAGATAAAATGGGAAGCTGACAAAGGGCACCGTGGGGCCCGTTCTTCTCCTGTATTGTTCTGTTTTGGCACCCCGCCCCCATGTTGTGGATAAATTTAGAGCCTCACAGTTGGCTAAGGCTAACCGTGGTGCTCTGCTTTTGAACTACATCTCCAACCCCATCCCCCCCCTTTTTTTTTGAATGGTCAGGCTGTCTCCTGCAGCCTCCCCCTATACTAACCCTGAATCCCTAGGAAGACCCAACTCTTAGCAGGCCTGACCACTAGTCTCACCACAAGGATCCTATCCTGGGTGTGCAGATGGATCCACAACTTGAGAAGAAAAGTCTGAGCGGATTAACATTTCAACCATCAATTTACGATCTCTTCTTGAAGCCAAACTTATCAGGTGAGCGCTTTTCTCCAGGCCCGGGGTCTCTCTCACCTTCCTGCCGCACAGTTCGGAAGTGAGGATAAGTGCCTGGCCCTTGTTGGAGATGCCACTCAAAGGGCACATGTCTGCTTCCTTCTGGCTGTCCCTTCCATAGCTCTAGTCTCTACAGGCCTGTCCTTTTTGCAAGCTTGCCTCTGAGAGGCCTGGAGTTCATCTGAGCACTGACATGGTCTAAGATCTTAGCCACAGCTCACCTAGAGACAACTAAGATGTTCAGGGGAGCCAGAGATGATCTTTCCTTACCACCTACAGGCCAACAGCCTCCTAACAGACACCTGATATTCTGACCAGCAGTGTCCAAATTCCAAGCTTTTTTTTTTTCTTCCCGAAACAGGGTTTCTCTGTGTAGCTTTGGTGCCTGTCCTGGATCTCGCTCTGTAGCCCAGGCTGGCCTTGAACTCACAGAGATTCGCCTGGCTCTACCTCTGGAGTGCTGGGATCAAAGACGCGCGCCACCACCGTCCGGCAAATTCCAAGTTCTTACGCCCCCAGTCTTTTTAAATCTAAGTGTCCTTTATTTCTTTAATGTACAGTGTGCATGAATGCTATGGCAGGCATATGAGTGGAGGTCAAAGGATAGGAAGTAGGTTCGTAGGTTCTCTCCATCATGTGGGTCTAGAAGATCCAATTCGGGCTGTCAGCCTTGGTGATAGCACCTTTACCTGCTGTTATTCTGTTGGGGGGGCAGTGTCTTTTTTCCCCTTCCCTCTTCCCTTTCCCCCTTCTCCTTCTCAAGCTTGTGATTCACCTGCCTCAACCTCCTGATTAGCTGGGATTGCAGGGATGTGTCACAGTGCCCTCTCCAAAAGCCTATTGATATCTGCACTTGGATGCCCGGTAGACATCTCAAAATCAATATGTTCCATGCTCCAATGGAGCCCTGTCTTGACATCCACCTTTAGATTTCCTCAGGTCAACAAATGGCAACTCAGTCCTTCCAGTTCCTCGGGCCAAAAATGTCATCTGTTGCTTGTTTTTAGGTTTTGTTGATGTTGTTGTTGTTGTTGTTTTTCCTGAAGGCAGAGTCTTGCGATGCGGCTCCATGGCACCGTTTAAGTTGATTTTGTAGGTCAAGCTGGCACCACATTTGTACTGGTTCTTCTGCCTCGGCCTCTGGAGTGTTAGAATTCAAGTGTGTGCCACCATACCTATTTATTTTGATTTTGTTGGCTTTTGTATCTCTTTTCACTTTTTAAGACGTGATTTCACTCTGTAGCCCAGGCAGGTTCAGAACTCAATTTATGTAGCCCAGGGTGCCCTCAGATCCAAGGTCCTCCTACCTCTGTCTCCAAGTGCTTGGATCACAGGAGTATGCCACTATGCCTAATTAATTTTTTAAAATGTTTATTTATTTATTATGAATACAGCGTTCTATCTGCACATACCCCTGCAGGCCAGAAGAGGGCACCAGATCTCATTACAGATGGTTGTGAGCCACCATGTGGTTGCTGGGAATTGAACTCAGGACCCCTGGAAGAGCAGCCAGGGCTCTTAACCTCTGAGCCATCTCTCCAGCCCGCCTAATGAATTTAGGTTTACTAGTTGTACTGGGCATCAAACCCAGGGCCTTCAGCATGCTGAGTAAGTGCTCTGAGTCACACTCCTAACTAAACAACTTGGACTTCTTTCTAGCTGTCTCATACATCTGTTTCCAGATGTGACAACTTACCGCTACCACCTCCCTCATTGGATGCTACCATCTATCTCTCTGGGCTATTGTTTCAGTCTCTCAACTGGTCCTACTGAAGTTTTTTGTTTGTTTTTTAAGACAGAATCTTCTTACGCAGTTTAGGCTGGCCTTGGACTCCTGGTCCTCCTGTCTCTACCTTCCAAATGCTAGGATTACTGGTGTGCACTACTGCATTGGGCTGGGTGGGGTGGGGTAATTTACCGCAGACCCTTCTGCCTTTATTAGTTCATTGAACCCCCACAACATGGAGGTACATCTTACCCATTGTGCAGCTGAGGAAACTGAATTGAGAGCTTCGTTTGCTGAAGGCCACAGGGCTAGGGAAGGGCTATCTGGTTTTAAGCCCTGCCTGGGATCTGGTGCTATAGGGTGGTGTGTAAGAACAGCAGAGGCCTGAACTCAGGCCCATTATCTATGCTGCTTTGGGGCCACACGCTGCCACAGCCTTTATTCTTTCGCCTCATCCCTTCTGGACTCTTTCCCCAGCCTCCCTCCTGAACTCTGCCTTCACTCATTGCCCCAGGCCCTTAAGGCTATACACATCTCCCTCTAGTTGACAAGCAAGACTCCCAAGGCTGACTTGAGACTCAATGTCTATTCACAATCAGGAATTTCAAAGGCAGTGTGGAACAGTCCCAGAAATCTGTGAGACACTGAGAGTGACTTAAATTTAGGCATCTCCCTTCCCAGTTACTCTCGAATCGGTGGCCACATCTGATGCAGGAAGTCTCTCCGGTCCACACCCGAATGCTTTCCCTGTTGACTTCTGAAGTTCCCAGGAGAGGCGCCATGCTGTTTATGGTGGTTTTCTGGTCTTCTCGGGGGAGGGGGAGGGGGAGGGGAAGAGTGACTGTCCCTTGCCAGCCCACCCAACAAAATCAGCTAACATCCTTCAATGACACCCCCTTTCAGAATTGTGCCAGTCAGAAAGAGAGGCCTATCAGCTAATTATGGATTTTATGGAGCCAGGCGAGATGGTAAGGAAATCCTTTGGGACTGAGGAGCAGAGTGGGAAAATCTGAAGGTCCATCTTTCCCTAACCCTAGCCCTGAAGCCACCCCAATGTCAGTTCATTAGTGGCTCTTAATCTGGGGAAATCTTGAAGGCCAGGCCACAGGGTGACAGTCCTCTTCCTCTCTAAAGGACCTCCTTGTAGACTCCACCCTACACTCCCAGAAGGCTCCAAAGGCTGGAAGGACCGGTGATGTCTCTCACTG